ATTGCACAAAACGCATGATCGCACCGGCTAGCCTGGTGCGCGTTGCCATTTATTTTTTTTTTTTTTTTCACTATTTTCATAGCCTTCGAACTGTGATAGTTTTCATAGTTTCATAGTATAGTTTTTACAGAATAGTTTTCATAGTATTTCCATAGTTTTCGTAGTCTTCGAACTTTTCATAATCTTCGAACATAGTCCAGTACATAACAAACTCTCATGCTTCACTCAACATTACAGCAGTACATATATTTTATTTGCTCTGTTTTCAACTGTTGTCCATGTACTAGTAGTAGTTTTTTGTTTATATACCTTGCTAATGATGTGTCAGGGCAGATGAGTCATATCCTGTGTGGTTAAGAAATTGGGAGAAAGGATCCTCTTGCTGTAAAAAAGCCTGAAACTTCCATTACATATGTAGTAGCTAAAAGCCGAATACATCAAAATTTGTGTTTTCCCAAGTTAGAATTAATTATTCTGCACAAATAAACCAGCTAAAATTGGTTAGTTAAAAGTTCCTAGTTTAATTTTTCATGTTTTTTGTCAAGACTTTTGTTACCATTATCACAGAAGTCACTCTTACTATTGCCACTATTGTTGTTATTATCATAATTATAGTAGTAATTATTATCATTATTGTATGTGTCTTTAAAAATAGTTTTTCAAATTTTGTATCGTTCGTGTTTTTATTAAAATATATATATATACGTTTATTTATTTTTATCAAAACAGTGATATGCTTATTATTCTTGCCCTTTGCACTGAAAAATTTTTCTCTTAAATGTATTTTAATGTTTAAAAATGCAGAAATCAATCATCCTACTAGCTCTCGCACCCAAAAAATTAGGGACATTTTGGGTGTGTTTTGGCAAGAAAAACGCTTCTTTCTATTTTTTTGCGAAGAATGATATCAGTTTTGGTTTCAGATGGTGACACGCCAGCGCTGGGACCCTCTGCAACGGAGGATGATTTGAAAACGCAGCATTCGGATACTCTGAAATGCTTGCACATGAAGGAAAGTCAAATTGCTGTGATGTGTGTAAGGCTACAGGTAATTTTCGAACATTTTATACATTAAAAAACATTGCTTTTTTCTTGATAAAAATATTGCTTTTTCTTTGAAAATGAGGAAAATTCGCTCGTTTGCTCAAATATTGCTTTTTTTTTCTTATTTTTTCGGAAATATTTCATGTACTTTGGTAAATTTGCACTTTACTCGGAAATTTGCCCTGAATTACCGGGAAATTCGCTCATCCGCTCTGATACCTCTGTCATAATTGGTCCTTCCCGGGTTACCCGGAATTTTTCCTGAAAGTTTTCTTGGATTAAACAGTTTTACTGGATTTTTTATAATCATCCCAATCTGTCTAAATCAGGAGATCCTTTTTAAAAAGGAATTTGAGAAAATTAGTGGTAAATTTGCATGTTTAGGAAGCCGAGGAAGCAAACATCAAGAAAGAGGCGCGCATTTCCGAACTCCGTAAAGAGCTTGAAGTCATGAGGAATGAACTGAACACGAGAGGTGCTGCTGGAACACCCAGCGAGCTATCGTCCAGCCTAAAAAAGCTCCAGAGAGAACGCGAAAAAATGAAGGAGGAATTTGAGAAACGTGAATGTGAATATGTAAAACGCTTGGAGACAGCAAATGCTGAAAATTCGGCGAGCAAAAAGGAATTGAATGAGCTGAAAACGAAAGTTATGAAAATGGAGATGAATGAACAGAGCTTGTCTGAAGAGGTAAGAAAATCCGAGGCAGTTTGAACGAAATTTTGAGTGGTTTAAAAGAAATTTTGATTGAATCGCTTATCAAGCTGAGCTTTTGAACTGGCCGAATGATCAGTACTTTCTTTCTTCGTTCTCCTACAGAAAATCCTACTTTTTTTGATTGCTGAGTATATGGCGGTTAGACAAATTTGATTTTAAAGCTCATATTTATCAGCGATCACGCGTAGAATTTTGCACCTATAGTTATATGGGTTTTGGAGGGATCGGATTAAGAAGCCCAGAGAATTCGTTTGAGGGCCAGCGGAACCTCTCGGAATTTTGTGTGTATCTTGAATTTCGAGGTATTTTGTGATGCTTTTTTTTTTTACAAAGATCCAACTTATTTTTTGGAAACCGGATTTTACACGCATTGAATTTGTCAAATTATTTGCAGATAAGACTGGCAAAGTATAATTTGGAGGCGAACAAACACGAATTCGACGAATATAAGCAGAGGGCCCAAAAGATTCTTTCGGCAAAAGAAAATCTGTTAGCGCAACTGAAGGAGGTTATTGCTTTTCTAGATTAGTTTTAGTTAATGAATTCTTTAGTTCTCACATAGCCTTATTGGCTTAGCTTAATTTCCTTGGCAAAGCGAATGAGGATTTGCCTTTCACAGCTTGATTTTATTAAAGGTTGAAGAAAAAATAATGAAGTAGAAATGAAGAAGGGAAGAAAACGAAGAAATAGCGAAGGAGGGGAAGGGACTAAGGAAATATTTGTAATAGTTAAGAAATGTTTCGGTCCATTAAGTCGTATACTTTTCTTATCGTTGCCACAATTGAACCTCGTCAGTACGAAGACTGTGGTAACAAAATAATTTAGATGGTTTAGTGTATTTTAGCGTTGCGTAGTGGACTAGTTTCAATTGATTTAATTCAGTTTTGAGCTTAGTCTTCACTTGCTTATATAGTCATTTTGTTTTATTGGCCGAGTTTTGTTTTAGTTTGAGGTAAATTTGAAATACTGTTATTTATTGTAATTATTATGTTATTTTTTTTTTTTTTTT